GTGTGTGTGTGTGTGTGTGTGTGTGTGTGTATTTTAGAGAGAGATGTTTGGAGTTTTTTGTGTTTTTTTAAGCCAAAATATGATTATTTAGACTATTGTAATTTTTTTAAAGAACATGTCCCACAGAGCCCTTAGTGTCACTGAGGATGTAAGCCATTTAAGTGGCTGCATGGTAGTCCATTTTATGAATGTCCATGTTTATTTATGTACCAGTGCTTATTAACTTAGGTTGTTTCCCTTTTTTAACGAAGTATGCACGTTGTGGTGTCACGATGAGTGTCCTTGGTCTTTTTCAATCTGATAGACAAAACAACTGTTTTTTATTTTTTGTAATGTATTAATTTTAGAGAGAGAGGGGAAGGGAGAGAGAAACATCGATTTGTTGTTCCACATATTTATCCATTCATTGGTTGATTCTTGTGTGTGCGCTGACTGGGGGTCGAACCCGCAGCCTTGGCCTATGAGGGACGATGCTCTAACCGGCTGAGCTGCCCGGCCAGGTCAAGTATTTCTCATGCTGTGTTTGCCAATTGTGGTTCAGCTTGTGATCACCTGTTTATACCCTTCACCCATTTTTTTGAGTGTTTCATCTCTTTCCACTCCTCTAAGGATATTAACTGTCGACATTTTTTGTTATCTTTTTTTCTGGTTTCTCCGGGTGGATTTTCTCGGTAGAAATTTTTGGGGGACAATAAAACTTAATGGACTTTTCCTTTATACTGTTTAAGATATTGTGCTTAGAAGGTCTTTCCCCATCTAAAAATTATTCTTTAAATCAACTGTGTATTTTTTACACTTAAATAACCTGCCCGTCATTTGTTTTGACATAGTGTGCAGTGTGAGCCTAGACTTCTTTACTAGTAGTAAACCAGCTTTCCGACTGTCATGTATGATACATTGTTTTTCTACTCACTTGAAATTCCACCCTTATCATGTGTGAAATATCTAAAATACATCGAGGTTTGTTTCTGGACTCTCTGTTTAGTCCCTGGATCTCTTTATTCCTATGCCAGGAGCACAGCCGTTTAATTTCTAGAACCACCTGGTTTGTTTTATACCCTGGTAGTTCACCTCTTGCCCACTTTGTTATATGTCTTTTTCCATTATAGTTCAGGCTGCCCATTCTGCCAGCTCGACTGAACATCATTTTGTTAAATTCCAAAATAAAGATTGGAATATTAAATTATTTATTAAATAATAGATGTGATTGAGCCCCTGCTCCGCTCTTTAACTCAGTGCCTCTCACCTGTCACCATAAAGTGTCAGTGTTTGCTGTTGATGTCTGAGGAGTCCTCCGTCTCATGTTTAGAAAGTACTGTTTTATTCTAACTTGCTTTGCGTTTTTATGAAAAATGAACGTTAAATGCTGTCAAAGACATTTTTTGGCATATATTGAAATGTCATATTTGTCTTTTATTCATAAGTACAATTGAATTAATTCATAGGTTTCCTGTTGTGATATTATGCCTGCATTCCTAAAGTAAGCATTATTCTTTGAGTATGCTTCTAGATTTATTGTGTCTCTGGTTATTTGGAATTTTTGTGTTTTCACTTACTAGTGACACTGTTCTGAATTTTCCTTTTCTGTACCGTCTTTGTCACTTTTCAGTGTCAGGATTGTATTAACCTCATAAAATAAGCTGGATAGTATCCTTTTCTTGTTTTCTACCACAGTTTATTAGAGAGGGAATTATTTTTTCTTTGAAGGTTTGTTAGAAATTGCGGGTATGACCATTTCCAATAATGCCTTTATTGGTCCTAGTTCTTTTACCACATTAAGTTTTTCCATAGACTTTGGTTAATGTATTGGTTTCCTAAGTCTTCGGATGATTCTTTAGTCACTTATATTTTTCCAGAAGTCATTTGTCTCATTCGGATTGATTAGTTATGTGAGCATGTTCTCTTACAGCATCTTGAAAACTCACCCTTCTCGTTTGTAATCTTGTGCACTTGCTAAATACTGATCATACTTGGTAGAGGTTAATCTACTTTATTGAACTCGAAGAAGCAGCTATTGTTTGTATTAATTCTGCTTTGGGAGAAGGGCTTTATTTGCTTTCTAATCCATTCATTTCAACTTCGGGTATTAATTCTCATTCTTTCTATTGTTGTTTTTTTCAGTTGAATATATATTTCTTCTCTATTAATTTTATTTCAAAAGAAATGCATGGTTCTTGAAAAAAACACATTAATTAATACAAAAGCATGAAAAGTGAAATTCAAACTGCCCTTCTCCCCTCCCCTCTCAATCCTACTCTTACCCCCACAGTTAATGGTAAAAATTGGGAGAGAGGGATGTCTTTCTCAAACTCTTTCTACTTTCTTATGCATTTATGTACACATAGGTTTTGTTTCAAATCCATTCTTTTTTGGCTTTCTGTTTCTGTGTAACAAACCAATAGGCACATAAACAGTAAAACCATGAAACTGTGTCTCATGGTTGGGGTTGTCTGAGCTCAGCAAGGTGCTCCTTCCTTCAGAGCTCCTGGTGACTGCAGTTGTTTGCTGGCTGGGGCAGGAATCATGAACGCTTTGCTCTTGTGTGGCTGGTTTCTAGGCTCAGAAGGCTCCATGAGCTGGGGACTGGAACAGCAGGGCCTTCTTGGCCTCTCTGTCCACGTGTGGTCTCTCCACTTGGTGCCCAGCATGGTGGCTTCAGGGTAGTCAGACTTCTTCCATGGCAGCTCAGAATTTCAAAGGTCTATGCCCTAAGAGAAAGCACTAGGAAGAAGCTTGTATTGCCCTCGTTAACCTGGCTGCAGAAGTCGTAGCATCATTTCTGCTGCTTTCTGAAGCACATCATTTTTTTATTTTTTAATCCATGTGTTTTATTGATTCTTAGAGAAATTAGAAGGGAGGGAGAGAGAGAGAGAATGGTCGATCTTCTGCCTTCCACATGCGCTCCAACCAGGGATCAAACCTGCAACCTGGGTATGTGCCCTGACCTGGAATCGAACCCGTCACCTTTTGGTTTACGGGATGCTGCTCCAACCAACTGAGCCACCCGGCCAGGGCTTATTTCCACTGCTTTCAAACTCACCAAGACTGGCACTAAGGCCGCCCAGGATCTAGGGTCAGGAATATAGTTTAGTGGCAGGGGCTACAGAGAAGTTGCAGAAACCATCCCCCCTAGCTGTGGCTTTGACACAGGTGGATCCCAACAAGGAGTTAATGCTATACATACTACTCTTTGACTTAAAATTTAATCCTGGAACATCCTTTGTGTCATTACATACCTGTCGGCTGCATTCTTTGGTATGTTGCCTAGGGTTCTGTGATATGGCTGGTAAATTATTTTAAACATTTCTCTATCGATGGACCCAATTTTCTTATATTTCAAATAGGAATTGCTTCATTTACGCTGCAGTGGAGAGTGGCAGACTAGGACTCTCACTCTCTCTCAGGTGCTTTATTTCTGCACAAAGCCCTTGACTCTCAGCTGTGTGAGGGGTCTTCACCCTCCCTAGATTCCTGCAGAGAGTTTTTCCTGGAATACCAGTTGCACGGTTTCACCAATCCAGGGAACGAAGGAGTCAGTGTTAGTGAAGGTCACTACTTTAGCCTAAAGGTCCAGGTCTCCTCCCCTTTTTTTATTACTTTGTACCCAAAGAACTTGGTTGATCTTTTGTCAACAATTTGATTATTGAATAAATACACCAAACTAATCTTAACTAGGTGGTAAACTTTCAGAATATTACTTTAAAGTCCTAGGTTTAGTAAGTTTTTCTTCTAGAAGGTGGTGGTGTGGGTTTTTTTCTCAGCTGGTTTAACTGATTGCTCTTTTATAAAGCTGCTTAACCTAACTGTTTGCGGGGAAAAGGCAGGAATGTAAAAACCCAGAATTTTAAAGATTGTGAGGTTTGTGTGGAAAGCAGAGAAGTGGTTTTTTAATAATTTAAACTTGTGCGTTTTCTTTTGATCAGGTCGGAGTGATCGACTTTTCCCTCTACCTTAAGGATATGCAGGATCTTGACGGTGGCAAAGAGTAAGTACTGGATCGTACGCTGTGGTTCACATTTTTAATGAAAATTCTGGCAAGGAATGCTACATTTGTTTCAGGTTTTTTTGAAATTCTAGTTTTTATTGACCTATTTTCAAAAATATTTTTATTGATTTTTAGAGCGAGCAGAAGGGAGAGGGAAAAGCACCAGTGCTGCTGCCCCTTCCACGCGCCCCCGGGCAGTGAGCGCACAGCCCAGGCCTGTGCCTCGAGCTGGCGCCTCTCAGCACACGGGGCGAAGCCCAACCACCCTGGCCAGGGCTGTTTGTCTGATTTTAATTACAGAGGAACTGTGCTCTACAGAATACAAGTGAAATTTCTCCGTTCATTCGTCCACTCACCTCCGTCCCACTGCCACTCCCACCGCTCCCTCAGAGGAAGCTGTTCATGGCTCCTTCCGAGCCTTTTATATTTTCATTATTTTTTTTTTTTTTTTTT